CACCGTGACTACGAGCTGCACTCTCTCGACTTCAGCACAGCTTTCTTGCAGGGCAGCCTGCACGAGGAGATCTGGCTGCGTCGCCCACCTGGCTTCACTGGGTCTTTCCCTCCTGGTACCCAGTGGAGTCTCCGGCGTCCAGTCTACGGTCTCCGCCAGGCGCCACGTGAGTGGCACGACACACTGAGGACTACGCTCGCGGCACTTGGGTTTGCTCCTTCCACTGCCGACCCGTCGCTGTTTCTGCGCACCGACACCTCTCTGCCGCCGTTCTACATCCTCGTGTACGTCGACGACTTGGTCTTTGCCACAGCTGACACTGCTGGACTCGCCTACGTGAAGTCCGAGCTGCAGAAGAGACACACGTGCACTGACCTGGGTGAACTGCGCAGCTACCTTGGCTTGCAGATCACCCGGGACAGAGCACGCCGCACCATTACCCTGACTCAGTCACACATGGTGCAGCAGGTCCTTCAGCGCTTCGGCTTCACGTACTCCTCGCCTCAGGCCACTCCTCTGCCTACTCGCCACTCGCTCTCAGCTCTGCCTTCGGATGAGTCCGTAGAGTCGAGTGGCCCGTTTGCAGAGCTTGTTGGCTGCCTCATGTACCAGATGACCTGCACACGACCTGACCTCGCATACCCTCTTAGCATTCTCGCACGCTTTGTTGCTCCTGGGAGACACCGACCAGAGCACATGGCTGCAGCGAAGAGGGTGTTGCGCTACTTGTGTAGTACGTCGGGCATGGGGCTAGTGCTTGGAGGGCGCAGTCCAGTGGTCCTCACTGGGCACGCAGACGCTTCTTGGGCTGACGACCAGGCTACGCAGCGGGTCGTCACAGGGTTACACCTTCAGCCTTGGTTCCGGCTCTGTCTCGTGGCGGGCTACCCGCTCGTCTTCTGTTCTCGGTTCCAGTTGTGAGGCTGAGATCTAGCGCTGGGGCTATGGCTGCACAGGAGTTACGCTGGCTCACCTACCTGCTGACCGACCTTGGAGAGCCAGCCTCGTTCTCCTCCAATCCTGTACGTAGACAACAAGGCCATGCTGGCCTTGTGTCGAGAGCAGCGACTGGAGCACAGAACGAAGCACATTGCTCTTCGCTACTTCTTGCTCGTGAGCTACAGCAGCGTGGACAGCTGCGACTTGCATACGTGGCCTCTGAGGCCAACACTGCTGATGTCTTCACCAAGGCACTTGCGCCTTGTGCATCATCAGCGTTGCTGCACGCAGTTGGGTCTTGTGGCTGTCTTGCCTCACTTGCTCTCCCCTTGACCTTGCTTGTACTTCGCATATATATACTCTTGCTCTTGTATATCTCTATATATGATCTTGCATGTGAACTGGCCTTGTGGCCTTTGAACTTGTGCTCGGAATGCGTGGTGACTTTGTGATCCACCCTGAGCTTTGCTTTGCTTTGCTTGACTGGTCTTGTGACCCCTTGTTCTCCCCCACTTTGCCTATTGGGGTGTGTCAGAACTTATAGCTTACTTGTTTCTGTAGGCCTATAGTGGGGTATCCCATAGGGGGTACAACCCAATTAGGGTTTCCTATTTGTACTCACTTCGTTCATAGTCATTCTCATTCTCGTTCTTTGTTTTCACACGTTTCGCCATTATCTTGCTGATCCCTCTAGTCTTCAAGCCGGAGGTGACGCGGGTACAGGCGACTCTGCGCGCACTTTTCACCCTGTGGAAGAAGGTAGCTGAAATTTGTGATCCAGGCGAGACAAAGTTTCAGGAGGTATCTGTGGTGTACCTGACCAAGAAGCAATACAGTCGGCTGCAAGTCACCTTTGAGCGGGCTCGGGACCGAACTTCGTCTGGAAGACGGTATTGTGCACGTGTGTCTGGATGGAAAGCGGATCAGCCTCGTACTGGCAGCACCCGGTGGATCCTGCGTACGTGAAGGCACGAGCTGCAGACCCAACGTTGGTGGAAGTCCTGTTTAAGGAGATGGATGCGTTATCACGCCTGAGATGCTGCGGGATATGCTGGTGACGGTGAAGTTGGAGAAGAGGGGAAGATCTGCGTTTAAGGAAGGCTATTGCTTCCATCGGGTGGTGAATCCTGTTACGGGGATGGATACGGACAAGGTGAAGGGACTGGTGAAGCAGCACGCTGGTGACAAGTATCGGTGGCGTCATATGATTGAAGATCCGACGGCGCACGACAAGCAGCTTATGGTCCACTACCCCTCATAGAGCTGTATTTACTGTTCGGGGTTTCATATGACAAGGTATCATGATGACTACATGGCGGATCGGAAAAATAACATTGGCAAGTGGAGCCTGTCCCTGGGACGGGTGCACGGGTTCAATGGTAATGGTTGGTGCTTTCTGACTGCTCACCTGTTGTTGCTGTTTTTGAGGTGGAGTGGTGCTAATGTTGTGGATGTGTCGGATCCGCGCAGCCGCCTCAGTCCAGATCACATATCTGACCAGGCTCATCTTGAAGGACCCAGCGGTGGTGCTGATTTCGACTGGCGCGAACCAGGAGGAGTGGATCTGTGTGCAGGAGTGCTGCGAGAAGGCGAATGGGGTTACCTTTGCACAGGCGGCAGAACATGTGGTCTCACAGAGGCACAGCGATGGGGTGTCAGCCGGCTTTGCATCGCGCGCCTCAAAGGCTGGTGTGGCGTTGCAGGCGGCGAAGAAGGAGTTCGGAGTGTGGCGTTGATCTGCGGCCAGGCTGTGGGGATGGTGGTGTCAGAGCATCTCATATTGGACGAATGGAGAAGTTAGAGAGGCATAGTTGCGGTGTTGGTTGCTTTTGTTGTACCCCAGAAGTTATAGTCGGTGCTCTAGCTGCAGTATCATTGCCCTGTGGATGTAAGGGGGGCTCAACGGCGGTTATCCAATGAGTAACACCAACCGTCTTTCCATTATGACCCTAAACGTCAACGGTTTGGGGAGCGAAGGGAAACGGTAAAAGTTAAAAAGATGGATTAAAACAGCTGCAGACGTGGTGATTCTAGCGGATACGAGAGTGGCAGAAGATCACAATTTATGGACGGAACTAAAGCCTCACAGTGTGGCCGCTGCTGGTGCACCTACCAGGGCAGGTGGGGTGGCCATTCTGAGCTTCCGGGACGGGGTGGTTGTTGAGGACGTTCACCGACATGCGTCGGGCAGGCTGCTCCACGCGAGTGCGGTGGGGCGCAAGGCAGCTGAGGTTGTTGGCGGTGTATTTCCCAGCTCAGGCTCCTCCAAGGGCAGTTTCTTGGGGACAGAGTTCAGCGTTTTTGTTGCAGGTCTGCCAAGGGGGAGCAGTTGGCGGTGGCGGGTGATTTCAACATGATTGAGGACCCAGTGCTAGACAAGTCAAATCGTCAAGGTGTTGTTGGAGATAACAACAGAATGATGCACATGCTGCAAGGTTTCCATCTGAGGGACGTGTTCAGGGAGCTTAATCCGGATGAACGGCAGTTTACCTTCTACTGCGGTTCGGCGAAAGTCAGCTCTCGGATTGACAGGGTGCTGGTTTCACAAGCGCTGCTGCATCTGGTGGCCAGGGTGGCTCATCGAAGGATCCCGAGGGGGATTACTGACCACAAATGCGGTCTCTGCGTGTGGTTGGCGTGGAGAGGTGCGTAGGAGCCCGGGCCGGGTGTCTGGCGCTTTCCGACGAGGCTGGCGAAACGCCTTGGTGTTGGGGTGGCGGTGGCTGAGGTGGTTCGGAAGCACGAAGCGGAAGGGGGAGGTGACTTTGTGAAAAGGTTCTAGCAAGGCTTAGGAGCCATGGCTAGTTAGATCGAGTGAGTTGAGTTCGAGAAAGTTGAAAAGGAGAATGGGTGGTTTCACTATAGGTTCAAGGGTACAAATATGAGAGAACAAGCAAGAAAGGTGCACATCAAATAGGAAAACGCTATAACTACAGTAACCAATCCTACAGGCAGTTACATATAGAAAATATTACATTATATTTTCCGACACGCCCCCATAACTGGCTGTAGGAGATGAGTGTGCAGTTAGCGCCCCTGAAGGGGTACATCACGATTGTGTAGGAGGAGAAAAGTGTTTCAATAATACCACTCCCCTGGTTCCCCCACACCCTCACACCCTCCCACCCTCCCCCTCCCCCTCCCCTTCCCCCTCCCCCACACACTGCTGCAGGAGCAGCAGAGGGGGGAAGAGAGGAGAGGTGGAGGGACGGCTGCTGGGTGGTCTCACACCCCGCCACCCCAGTGCCACTCCCCGGGCTCCCCCACACCCTCACACACCCTCCCCCCCAGCGGCAGCTGCAGCAGCGGGAACAAAAGAGGAGGAGAGGGCGGGGGGGGGGGGGGGGGGTCGACGCACGTCCTCCCCGGGCGCCAAAGCAGGCGGCAGAGGGGGCGACGCCTGCCCCCCCCTTCCAGGTCGCCCCTCCCGGCACTGTCGAGGTGACCTGAGGGGGCCGCGTGCGGCAGCATTGGTGGAGGAGATGAGGAGATGAGGTCCGGTTTTCCGGAGGAACATTGGTGGCGGTGGCAGTTCATCAGATCTGGTTGGGGTGTGATGTGTCACTGCAGAAAACAAGAAGATTCTGGCTCGGAAGGTGCTTCGGAAAATTAACGTGGAATTCAACAAACATGTAAGGATCTACTGTAGCAGTCCTAGTAAGTGGGCACGAAGAGATAGGGCGAGGTGGAACTTGGCAGAGGACGAGGCACGTGTCATGAAGCGGATTTGTGACAACGGTGCAGTAGGGCTGAGGTGGCAGGATGGCTTCCAGTCCATATGGACGAACCCGAGGACCTTCACAAAACCACCATAGCCTCGTGGGGAGGGCTAGGTTCCCGCCTGGCTTGAGCCCTACAGACACAGTTACGACTGTGTTGTTTTGCTTGTACTCCCTTGTGTTATAAGCTTTCACAAAAAAAAAAAAAAAAAAAAAAAAAGGATGTATGTGCTTGTACAACTTTCCCCACCGCATCAAATGCAGGATTTCCGAAGCTGGTGCTGCACTGTTTGCAAAATTATAGCGTTTCAGGGCACCTCAAGAAAAATGCTTTAATATGTCCTACTGTGCCCAGTAGCGATCCATAGTCTTGAGAAAGTTGGCCACTATTTCCTTGCCATTGGTCGTGATGATGCTCTCTGGGTGGAACTGCACTCCCTGGTGTGTGGAGAGGGAGGGGGAGAGGAGGGAGAGGTGTGAGAGGGGTGAGAGGCAGGGGACACATGAGGGAGAGAGAGGAAGGAGAGAAGTGAGAGAGGGTGAGAAGGGAGGATGCAAAGCAGGTTATGTGGGGACAAGGTGGGCATGGTAATGGGTGTACTTCTTGTGCTGCACAGCCAGAACAAGCCCATCCTTCAGGTCAGGAGAGAGTGTGTTGACTTCAACATACTCACACCCTTTGAATCACACGCCCACTCACTCACCTCCACATGGGTGTACTTTTTATGCCGCACGGCCATGACAAGCCCATCCTCCGTCCAAGCAGTCACCTCCAGCTCGCCTTCAGGGAACGTGTCCTTTTCAATCACCAGGCTGTGGTACCGGCATGCAGTGAAGGGGCTGACGGTGGAAGGGTGGGAGTTGGGGAGCAAAGGGGACTTGTTGAAGGTGGTCCTGGGGAGCGGATCAGAGGACAGGCAGTCACCTCCAGCTCGACCCCAGGGAACAAGTCCTTGTTAATCATGAGGCTGTGGTACCGGCATGCAGTGAAGGGGCTGGTTGCAAAAGGAGGGAGGGAATTGTGGGGCGCAGAGTGGTTTGGTTGGGGTGGAGACAAAGTTGTCTTTATGCTCTGCGTCACTTCAGGAGTGGTTAGCTCGCCGATTTGGGTTGATTTTGGGTTTGGTTGGTGGACTTAGGCAGCTGACATGAAGAATGCGCAATAAAATACGTCTGCCAGTCACCACACTACCACTGTAAGTCTCTCCCCGTCACGCCCACCTTGGCAGTCCTGCCAGCAGCACTTCCCCATCCTCATGCTCACCCACCTGGGAAGTCCAGCCAGCAGCCCTGAGTCACTGTCTGCCATCGAATGCAGCACGGGTGACGTCTTCCATGCATCACGCCCCCGGGCGCCCGCACTATGCGCCCTGCCACAGAGTCACGGTTCGGGGTGGATGGTGTGCGGTTGTATTGGTATTGGTATGTGTACAGTTGAAGGTGTTAAGTCGAGGGTAAACCCAAGACGGGGCTTTCAAGCTGCAGGATGGTGGCATAGAAGCATGGTTGCGGGTTCAGCACTGAAGGTTGAAAAGGATGCGACCTGCTCAGTCAGGGTCGGGTTCTAGGGTTTAGGATTGAGCTGAGACCACCGACCCAACACGCAGAACCATACCGACTGAGCGTTTCGCCTTATCAGCCTGCCCATGCATTTAACCCAGACAGCCGACCATATGTCTGTCCCATGCACTGCAAGCCCATAGCAGCGGACTCTACGTACCTCCATACGCCTGCCCCATGCACTGCAGCCCCATGCAGACGCCAAAAAGGGGCACAGTGGGGCCCAGGCGCCGCACCACGTCCAGCGATATGCCCGAGTCGTCTGGCGTGCCTGGTGGTTTGAAAGGGGTGCCATGGTGCAGAGAAGTTGGCAAGGGGAATGGTGCTATGCGTTCGAAATGGGGGCGTGTGAGTTAGGAATTATATGGATATCATGAACACGAGTTGAGGATGTCAAGAGTATATGCTGTGCATACGTGTGCTGTGGGTGGGGATCATGTGGGATGATGTTTGAAACACGGGTAGGAGCAAGTTCAAAGACTTTAAACGCATGTGAAACAGCTGGGAAAGATCGAGGCTGGAATTCAAGTCAAACATGACACAAGAGCAGAGCAGCAATGCGCCAAAGAAACCAGCTATTATCTGATGCGGGACTTGACAGCAGCAGGGATATCAAAGGGCCTACCAGGGCCTGGAGAGATGAGCACGCCCCTGGGATCCATTCTGGAAGAAGGTAATGTGGGGAGGGAGCAGGAGCAATGGACGGGACGGGAAGGCATACTCAAATCAGTTAGAAGATGAATAGGTGCCTTGGAAGAAGCATACATAGAACTCGGGTGTGGATCGCATGCACGAAGTAGAGCGTGTCAGCCTGCTCCCTGCATGCATCATCATTGGTGGCCATGTCTCCGTGGCATGGCATCTCACTCACTTCTGCAGGTCGTCTATGGTGATGTCATCGTTACGATACACCACGTGCTCACACCCCAGGTCGCCCAGGTACTGCTCACAGCACATCACAGCGCAGGCAACCACCACAACAACCACCCCGTGAAATGTCAAGAGGCGACCACCCGCTTTGTGGAGAAGAGACAGTTGGAAAGACAGCGTTTTACTGATTTTCGCATCCGAGAATACTGTTGATGAGAAAGAGGCAAGCTGGCTGGGTAGTTCGGCAGAGGGAAAGGGGAACCCCACCTGGACGCGAAGCCAGCTTACCTGACAGAGGTTGTAAGTGAAGCTGTCATAATTATCAACCACCACCACTGGTCCAGCACCCCGAAGCTCCTGCGCAGGCTCGGCGACGGCCGAGGCAGCAGCCTTGGCAGTGGAGGTAGCAGCCTTGGCAGTGGTGGAAGCAGCAACAGACGCAGAGCGGGGGAGGCAGATGGAGGTCAGGGGAGTGGCTGAGACAGATCCGCGGAAAACGGTCGGTGCTGGTTTATGGATGGCATGGTAATCTCTGCAGGTTCTACGAGACACGTTTGGCGCGCTTGACTGAGTCAGGTGCAACAATGCTGGAACCAGGGAGGAAGGTCCTGCGGTCGGGTGGAGGGAACGAAGGAGGGAGTGGGACGCTGGATGAGGGGTGGATGCAATGGAAATATCTAACTCATCTCCATGAACTCATGAGGCCCTGAATGGGCTGGAAATCTGAGCTAATGCACGCAGTACGTATCTGCACGGTGTGTTGGAACACCAATGTACGAGCAGAACAAAACATGATCTACGTGTGAGAGGTAGAGCGGATGGCTGACCTGAAAGAGCGACAGTCCGGGTCACTAAGGGCGTCGTCGCGAGAGCCATGGCGGATAGATTGGACGATGGACCAGCCTCAATAGGACCACGTGCAAATCTGAGCAAAGGAGTTATGCCAGTGCCGAGGTTGAATGCCTTTTATTTTCTGAAAACGAGGGGTGCGATCAGCGAGACCATGCACGGACGAGACTAAGTGCTTTCGTTATGAATTATTCTCCAGGACCAGCAAAATGCTGCGGGTAGTTCTTGTTACCGGCCTCGAGCTAATGAATCGCTTCGCCTTTTTGTTCACCGATCAGGCTTGCCAGCTGTCAGGTCAACGCACGAGCTGCGTAACAGACCCACGCAATGAACTACAGAGGAGCGCCTAGGGGTTGGCTGGTCTGGTGGATGCTTCTTTGGATATAGGTGTTTGACGGCTAGGGATTGTCTGGTCTGATTGAAGCACCTACGTTGGATGTAGGTGTTCGACGGCTGAGCAGCAGTCTGCGCTGGCGGGGGTTGCGGCGGA